AAAACTGCACGCATCGCCGCTTAAACGGAGCATCGTTTCTCACTAAAATTTTCATTACAGTATTCGATCCACCATTGTACCAAAACAATATACATCTAAGAATCTCGACAAACCATTCATTTGTTTCCAGAACACTTTATTCTTCTATTTAAACAATAACCGCGCCCCGTGTTTAAAATTATTTCATGTATCATTCTCAACGCGCGGTACGTGAGCGCCAACGTTTTCCCCACTTCCCATCCATTTCAACGGTCTTCGCAGCTGCGATACGTCATCTAATGCAGCGTGACATTAAAAAATCTGTACAAAGTATTAAAAATATATATATACGACAGGGAATTTCGTCCGGTTTTTCGACGCAGCGCGTAACAGCATTGAATCACGCGGCACGCGAAATTTATTTTCGCTGTTTGCTTTTATTCCGTGTTTTTTTTTCACGGCAAATACGAGATCGCGGTGGTCGCAGACGTGTAGCGGACGTGTTGAACGAGTCCAATGGTTACGGATCCCCGGGCACGAAGTTGTACGACGAGGAGAAAAAAATGGCGAACGGCCGGTTAGCGAGCTTCTAAATTTACCGTGAATTCGCCGACCCTCGGTTTATCAGCCGTGTGCATAGCGACGTGACCTTAATGGAGCCCCTGGAAACGCAGCTGCACCGGCCGACCACTAATTTGGGGTCTTTGTTAACGCAAGCGAGAAGCCCGGTGCGTTGAGTGGTTGGTTCCTCTGAAACGGAATGGGAATCGACCTTCCGGGACTGAAATCCGTCCGGGGAAGGGTTACAGGGTGAATCTAGGTCTCGATGCGGGCCTGGACCCGCTCGCGGATGCCGTCAGCCAGCTCGTACGAGCTCTGAACCGTTCTGAATAAGCATGAGCTACCGCGAAAATCTTAATTGGCATATACCGTTGAAACTCCGTTTCACCCCCTTACAACCCCCTTCGTTGGCGGGTTCAAAAAGAAGTTGTCTTATCTGTTGTATTATAGTGCATTTATCAGCTACATATAAATATTATACATAAGTAGTTTCTATTACAATTTCCTAACTTAATTGCACTTCAACGCTAAACGTACCACGATCAAACGACCGGTTTTCAGATTTGGCGGAAAATTCTGGATTTTCTTTCACCCATTTGTCTTTATGCTAGTTCTTATATTCTTCGATTGATCAGTTTTTCCATTTTTGTCTTTCCTTGTGTAGCTGTTTTCATTAAGAAGAATTTATCGCTTTCTATAACCAGTTTATTTTATAACCAGTTGTTCGACCGATTACGGTAGGAATAGGTGTGCACAAAGTGTCTTAGATTAGCGTTGACACGTTGACTGCCACGAAGACAGTCTTATGTATCGCTTATTCTTTTGTAACAAAGATAAAGAGGAACAGTTACTTACTATTTGGTATCGCAATGTGTCCGTTACACTATTATCTATTAATCTACGCTGTGAAATATTTCTATTCGACGTTAGTTATCCGAATTATAATTATTGCTAAGTAATTGGGAAGCTCCGGTCACCGGTAACCGACGTGACAGTCAACGTGTTAATATTCGTTCTAAGGATTATTTTCTTCATAACAGGTTCCCATACTTATCATTAACGATGCAAAGTGTAATAAGATTGTTAGGTTAACTAGATATTCCGATGAGTTTCTGCTCTTTGTATTCAATTCTAAGATTTGATCTTCCAAAGCGAATTCCGCAAGCGTTCAGATTGTGTTCGTTACCTTTCGAAATGAGATTGAAGTCACACGCAACGCCTGAAGTTGACGGGAGGAGGCAGGTTCGTCGAGACGACGTAAGACGCGATTGATTTCCGCGTTAATTCTCGCTCAAGCAGCTTCTCGCATTCAAGGCCCACGAGGCGGCGGCGCGTGTTCCCCGGCTCGGTGCTTATCGTTTTCGCGTATGCAGCCCTGTACAGTCGAATTTCAATGGGAACCTTAATTAACGCGATAATTTCAGCGTGCGCGCCCACCGTGACGGCTCCTCGTTGCGTCGCGACGTGCACTGGGAGATGCGGCGGAACACGTCGAGCTTTATTTGCGGAAACATCCTGCTCTCTCGGGGGAAAGCTCAATGACGCGTAATCCCGAGGCGTCCGGATACGCGTCAACTTGTTGACGGACGTATGTAGCCGCGAACATGGCGAGCTGGTCACAGAAATCTGCCGCGAACAGGAAATTTAGATGACTCGTCTTGAATGTTATAGCTTTACCAACCAAACTGGTAGTTTACTTTCCTCGTTAACCGTTTCTTTTGTTAATAGTATTGCGAACTACTCTTGAGCTGATGAAATAGAAATCAGGTGTACTGAGATACTTAACATGTTGACTGTCACGAGAATCTTCCATGTTTTGTATAGTAATACTTATTCTTTTAAATCAAAAACGAATGGTATTAGGAATAATTGTTAACGATTTGTCATCGTAGTAGTTCCTGTTTTTATTCGACATCAGTTTTCTTATTGTAGTGTTACTATAGTATAAACAATGAAAGGGTGGATCTTGAATAATCGAGAGCTAGGAATAAATATATGTATTTAATAAAATAAAGCTAAAACTATGGTCAAAATATAAAATATGGAAACAACATGGACAACACATAAACAACTCAATGCCACGGAGGCCAACACACGACTCTCCCCGCAACTCTCTTACATTCTCTCCCAAAAATCATTCTCTCCCCCACAAGCATTCTCACTCGCACTCATCGCAAACACTCGGATGTACCCCTGGAAAGCTGGCCCTGCAATCTTGGGTCCGCGACATTGTGCAGGCCACTTTCCCTCGACCGTTTTACAACCTGTCCTTCACTCACACTCATTCTTACATTCACTCTTCTTAAAAATACCTTAACCTGCGCTAAGAATTCCAGATACCACATTATTGTAATAGTTTTCAAGTAATGTAGAAGCTACGTTCATCGGTGACCACCTACGTGTTAATCGTTTTTCGAATATAACACATTTGACAGCTTCGGTTCGCGCAACGAGTTTGTAAAATTTGAGGCGCCAAGGTGATTCTACTGATGGAACTATTTACAAACTTATAACTGCCGGGCCTCCAATATCGACAAACTACTTTCCCCGTTAAAGTCGTTAAAATCACGTCGTGCCGACGCGTACAGTTGGTCGAGCAGCCGGTAAAACGAGGTTCCGTTCACAAATTGTTTCGTGTTCCCCGTCAGCGCGGGAATTGTATCTCGTGACAGACTAATGCCCACGGGAACTCGATTCTGCTACTTCGTGATTAACAGGCAGGGCTATCAGAGCTCCGTCAGGAGTGCATTTCCCCGTTGTAAATGTTTTCTGCGAGGTCTCCCGTAAACGTGCGATGAGGCGACTACTCATTAATAAAAATAAAAACGTTAACGCGTTCAATGCTGAACGACGTTACGGAGCAAAATACACGGAGTGGGAAGAAATATAATATCGAAGTATTTGATCGAGTTTATTTTGCTAAACGTTATCGTCTTACGTTGCATTATTTCTAATATGGAGCAGTTTTTAAGTAATCATCGTTTAATCGAGTGAATTATAATTCGATTTGGTTGGCGGTCACCGGTGAACCCCACGCATTCAACGTGTTAATTGGTCAAAAATGAATGAGCAGTTCTTGCATCGGTAAAGCTGATGTTAACGAGAATATATAAATTACAAATTGATGTTTTCCGTCATAAGACACCGAGATACTTTCCGAAAACTCTCCTGCTTCGATCGAAAACCGTATTGTTCGAACGTCAAACAAAATTTCGCTCGCGAAGAACGAATCAAATGTAAAGGGACCATTGGAGCGCTGTACAAATTTGTCTTCGCGAAAGGAAAATATAATCAGCAGGCCATTAATATTTAATGAACGCACCGAAGGCAAATTGCAAATATTTAAGCGCGAACGTATTCGCAATTTCGTCTCATCGTGCAGCGACGCTTTAAAAGTTGTTTCAGCGTTGCGTCGTGTCTTTTTCGGTGCAGTAACTTCAATTAAAGCACTGCGAGAAGTCGTGGAATTAACGGCGATAATGAAAAAACTTTATTCCACCAGGAGCGAGAGAGATTGAAGAGAAACAACGGCTGCCAAGGATCGTTGCTCGTTTCTCGTCTGGAATAAAGAAGAATCTTGTTGCTGCGATTATAAGTCGCTTGCCAGCAGCGCCAGCGATCGCGTTGGCCTCGATTTTTGAGGTTACGCAGCTGCACTTTATTTTCAAGAGTTTCATCCTGTGGCATTCGATTTTCTAATTCGCTAATTAATACCTTCACTCTCGTTCCACCTGCAATGTTCGAGTACATTCCTCGTATTCCGAATGTATCACTTCGAACGATACGAAAGTTGGTCGTTTTTATTATTATGCATTTCAGTACAATACAAACTCCGACTGTATCGCACATTTTACAATTATTCACGTAACACATATATAACAAGTATATTCACGGACTAAACAAGTAACGGTCAACCAGTCAACTGCGGAATTTAGCTTTAAAAGTCTCTCTCGTACGGTGTTCGATGAAATCAACTTCTGGCGAGTATTTACGTCGTACGCAGAACAAGTACACTTAATATATATTGAAATAAACAACTAAAATAGGATGAAGAAGAAATACATGATTGATCGAAGAAATGAATAATTATCGAGGGAATTAATATTATTTCGGATTCTAACACTGAAACTAGTTGACAAGTTAAAATGGCCCATTCCCCTTCTTTTTGCAATTATTCAAAAGATAACAGATGTTTCTCTGAGTTATTATTATAAGAATTGATTTAGAAATAAGCAAACTGAATTGTAAATCAATTACAGTCTCAATATACGCACTCTTAGAGTTTCTATAGAGAAACTTAAAAAAGTCGACTGAACTTCTCGTTTTTAGTGTTAAGATGACGCGTATACTCGTGAAATGCAGTTAACTAGTTTAGATGAATGTTCCTTCAGTTTCGAAGTTCGTGTCGTATCACGGTCGCACGTTTTAATGATGGCACGCCCTTTTGTTACTATTTCCAGAGAGGTGCGCACCGTCGTGCTCAACAAAGGTTCATCCGGGCTGGGTTTCAACATCGTCGGTGGCGAAGATGGCGAGGGAATTTTCATTTCCTTCATCCTAGCCGGGGGTCCGGCTGACCTTAGCGGCGAACTGCGTCGCGGCGATCAAATAGTCAGTGTCAATGGCATTAATCTTCGGACAGCCACCCATGAAGAGGCCGCCGCAGCCCTCAAGGTGCGTTAAAATTACCATTTTACGTCACCCCCTCGCGGTACTACCATCTTTCGACGCCTTTGTCTAGCTGCTTCAAATTAAACCGCGCCGTGGATACTCTCCAATTACGAATTACCTTCCACGGTTACTGAAATACCTGATTCCGGGACTGCGAGATCAAAAGATCCGAATGAAAAGAAATTTTCTTACGGATTTTTCACGGAACGAGTACTTTCTGGTCGTTATTTTACGTAACATCAAAGATTCCTTTCGCAAAGGAAACGTTGATGCGGTTTTAATAATCTCTTACATTGCAAATATAATTTTCCATTGTACAATTTGACTGTTTGCGATCAGGGTACCGGTCAGACAGTGACGATCGTGGTACAGTACAAGCCCGAAGACTACAACCGATTCGAGGCGAAGATCCATGATCTTAAACAACAGATCTCCCAGCAGAATATGATGACAGGCACCCTCATGAGGACCTCGCAGAAGAAATCACTTTACGTCAGGTAACTCGAGTCTTCCAATCGCATTCCAATCGAACTTACAGCAAAAACGAACGGACCAGACAATGAAAATAAGAATTTCTAACTTTAAATGTACACGTGTTACTCGTAAATTCTGAATTTGATGAACTTCGGATGGTAGCAGAGGTACTTCATATGAGAGATTTAAACGGAACACTTGTAAACTCGATAGCTTCAGCAAGTATTAAACCGGAGTATAAGAATTCCAAATCAGACCGCGAATGCTATCAGTAAAGAGGTTTTCACTTGTTGCTTCGCAGAGCGTTGTTCGACTACGATCCCAACAAGGACGACGGTTTGCCAAGCCGTGGTTTAGCATTCCGTTACGGTGAAATCCTGCACGTGACGAACGCGAGCGACGACGAATGGTGGCAGGCCAGAAGAGTGAATCCTCAAGGGGAGGAGGAGGGTCTTGGAATAATACCGTCGCGTAGACGATGGGAACGGAAGCAACGCGCCAGGGATCGTTCCGTCAAGTTCCAAGGTCACATGCCGGTCATCCTCGACAAGGTGGGTGGAGGTTGTCGGTATTAACATTAGAGACATTTGTTGTGTAGTTTAGTCTATGGGTCCTAGAGAAATTGATGTTCGTTGATTTAGATCTTGCAGGTTAGAGATTTCAAAGTATGTGTAGCTGTGAGACATTTGTAAAATTGATGAGTTCATTTAGATCTTGGAAGTTAGATTTCATAGTAAACGAATAAAATGCATATTTGTGTAGTTGTGAGACATTTATAAAATTCAGTTGATAAGTTCATTTAGATCTTGGAAGTTAGATTTTATAGTAAACGAATAAGATACATATTTGTGTAGTTGTGAGAAGTTTAGAAAATTCAATTGCGTTTCGTAAGCTTGATGCTGAAGGAATCAAGTGCTGCTGATTTTAGACAGTAAGTGCCAAGCGGCGCGATCGCGCTTCTTTCGTTTCAACTCAGAAACTGAATTACGCTTTCCTGTTTGCATAAAAAAATTGTAAACAATTAGGAGGAAGACAAATAAATCAACTTAATGTGATTCTATGAACCGATAGGTTAGCACTTTTCTATTATTCACTTGCAAGCCGGTAATAACAGAAATGAAAATAAATAATTAGAAGTAAAATAGATAAGTAAATTTAATTTGATTCTAGGAACCGATAGGCTGGTACTTTTAGACAGTGTAACGCTTGGCACTCGAACGGTTAATGAACTTTGCCTCTAGTTTCTCGTAAAATCTGGAACTCAAAGAACATTTGAAGTCCGATTTGTGCTTTTCTAAATGAAGTACTCTTTTAGTTACTTAATTCATACAGGATGGATCCCTCGACTAATGATCAAATCTTTCTAAACAGAATATTCCATTAATCATTTCATTCGAACAGTTTCCCTTGTGAATATTAGAAGATCAAGAAATAATCTAATTGAAATTTCGAGGGAATAATAAACGACTAATGGGTTGCAGCAATCGACCCTGGATAGAAAAAAGAAGAACTTCTCGTTCAGCCGGAAGTTCCCATTCATGAAGAGCAAGGACGACAAATCCGAAGATGGTTCGGACCAGGAACGTGAGTGTCTCGAAAACAGGGTCGATCGTATCCTGCACGTTCTGTGCATGTTCAGACCCATTTATCTATTGTGGTTTTTACGTGGTATTCCTTATACATATATATATATATATATATACATATATATATATATATTTTTTTTTTCAAATTATTTTTTAATTTCAAATTCTCGTCGTATTACTCAGCCACTATTTTACGTATACCTAGACCCGTGTGTTTGAACTTACGATTAGTATTTTCTCACGTGTGTACTTGCAACCCCCTTTGTTCGATTGATATCTCCACCACTGGTAAAACTTTGAAGCAGCGACCTCGTCTAAAGCGAGTTCCTTTGATCGATGTTATCCCCTTTAGAAACGTTTGTAACGTTCAGTAGCATCGGAATGGTAATCTTTTGTTTTCCTTTATCTGTACCGTGTTGATCTTTTTATCTGTCGACGTTTACTCGACGACGCGCACGAAGGAAGTTTTCGGCCGCCTCTCTACGGACGAAAGGAAGGAAAAGAAAAGAGAGATGCATACAATGTAACTTCTTTCGTCGTTTCCTCGATATTCTCGTCCCGCGGTACCGTTCCGCAGTTTATAAGGTCGCTTAGATATTCGCGACAGGTACCGACGATACGCCCAACCTCCGATTGAGCTTTTGTGTTTTTACATGATTGTGATACGTGACATGTGTTTTGTTTTTGCCTGCTTGTGTAGGGTCTCCCACGACACCCGAGAACGAAAACGATCCTACACGTAAGTATTATTCCAGAGTTGATCAAACCGAGCCCAGAAAAGAAACAATCAGACACGATCGATCATACACGGACACACACACACACCCATACGCGTATACACATATACACACACACACACATTTATACACGCAACTCGATTACACACGTTTACACGCGAACGCGCACGTATCTCGTCGAATCTGTGAAAGAGACGGAAACGAAGGGGAAAAACGTGTAAATGGAAAATAAAGGACAGAGAAACGATCAAAAACAGCGAGCCCATTGAACGTCACACTTCTCGAATGATGCTTTTTTCTTTCTCTCCGCCGTACTATCTTGCATTCTCCTTCGGCTTCTGCACGCTGCGATTTCATCCTTGCATCGAGAGCTCATGCATCTGCCTGGGATTTGACTAACCGAGGAAACGCACGCTCTACACGTTCATTCGAGTCGCTTCCCCACTAACCGAACCTATCCTTGGATTGTCGTAGAGGATGTGTAGTTGCTTCATTCGAGTGCCTGCCGCTATCCTGCACGCATACGTAGTCTCTCGGTGGACGAAAGTCTCGATGCTTCACCCGTCCCTGTTAATTTCAAGGTGTACACGCGGTACGACGAAAGTTGCGATCGTCCGTCGGTCCGTGAGGAACTTCGACGAGCGGAGAAAATCTGTAGAAAATAGTGATACAGTTAATGAGGTAGTGAGAAATTAGATTTCTTGCTGACAATAAATGATCGAGCAATTTTTACGGGAACGGATATTTGATTGTGTTCCTTTTTTATCGGTCATCGTACATGTACTAAAGAGATGGAAATGGCCATTGAAATAGTGAGACGAAATTGGATTTCTTGATAGCACGTTCTCTAATCAACGCGTATTTTCGTGACGGTCTCCTTAATTATAATATTTTCTTCAATCCAATAAATCTGAACAAAATATTGGAAAAATGAAACTGAAACGAGTCATTGAGTTTCTAAGTATAATGTCGTAGTTTGATTTCTAATAACAATATCTATAAAGTTAATTTCATTTTCAGTATGTAAAATATTAGATTGCAGCCGTCATTTGTAACGATTGACATTTCAGATCTTGTTCAAAGAGTAAATTACGTTCACGTGTGTTCTCATCTACCTTTGCAAGGTATAATGTATAAAAATTCATGAAGATATTTTTCCTTAAATATTCTTTCTATTTTATAAGGACGATCTGTTCTATTTAATAAAATATTGCAATCACGGCGTTATTGAAAGCACTGCTGGTAGCGAGTAGGTTAAAAGAGAACCTCGCAATTCGCAATGCTCCTTCGATTTTAATAGCCTACAAGATATTTCAAGAGATTTCATTGTTTCGGCACTAAACGGTTCAATTCTTTCGCTGTTAACCGACCTGTTTTAGCACTTTTTGAACTTCGTTAATTGCTCGAGGAACGACGCCATTATCGATCCGCTTCGGAACGCAGCCCAATCTGCCGTTTAAAGGGTTAGTTGTAGGTTCGAGAGACTTGAAACAAGGTGACGGCAATGAGCCGGCCGTGAATGGCGTTTAAGAGCATGCCATTTGCAGGAGGAAAGTAGGAAAGTAGCTTTTAGAGTTCGGATCGCTTCTGACACTTCGTGGAACCATGATTGCCCGAGGACGAACGGCATCTTTCGTCGATCGCGAGTTGAGCGACTTCGCGACGATTAACGTGTTGACTGTGAAGGCTCTACCTACTGTTACGAACGCGTAATGGTCCGGTAGACTCTTCAACACTATCGTGTATCTGGAAAGATCAAACGAATATTTTCCGAAAATTTTCTCAAAGAATGTATCTATTGCTTCAATATGTTAACCCCTTGCCTTATAACAACGTGTCAGACTAGTAACGATTTTAATACTGGAACTACCGAGGATTTAATACGACTGATATGTAATCCCTATAAAAATTCTAACAATAGATTATTTTCGGTTTCTTCAGACATTCATTATAGTATTCAAATCAAAGCTATTTATTTTCATGATCATTTCGAATATTCAATGCTTTTAAGATATCGATAATTGTGAAACAAAACAATCGAAACCGTCATTTTAACTGGTACGGTAGTTCTAGTGTTAAACAGAATTTAATAAGCAAAAATGTTACTGGACTCTCTTGAATTTCAATTAAATATTCTTCTGTCATTAATTATTATACTTCAGAGCAGACACGAACATAGAACATGCCTAGAATTTTTCTCTTCTAAATTATTAATGACAAAGTAGGTGTATCGGTCATAGCTGAGAAATAAATCGTAAGACGAGGGGTTAAGAATTAAGAGAAACAAATGTCCACCTCTCAGATTCAAAATCTCGAGATTCAATTGTACATTCAGCGCAATCAGCCCGTTAACGTTGCGCGTACAAACTACAGTGTACGCCGAGTCGCGTCGTGTCGATACCCGAAAAAATCGAAACGATCAGGAAAACATGAAATTCGTGTGCTGAACGCGAACGAATTGGCGAGCTTCCGCTAGCCAAACCGTCGAGTCGGGTGAACAATTACCGGAGCTTCACCTGGACGGTAGGAGGTGTTCTCGCTTAAAGCTTCACAATTAATCCTAGCAATTATTAACGGCCGCTTACTAGTACGCAACGTATACTGAAATATTGAACTTGTTATGTTTTAGCATTCATGCTGTGCTACACCCAGGACGACACTAACACCGAAGGTAATCACGTCTCTGTCTGTTTCTGTCTCTCTTTCTACATTCTCGATCTGCCTCTCCCTCTCTCTCTCTCTCTCTTTCTCTTTCCCTTTCTCTCGATCCGCTCTCTCATTTTCTCTCATACAGCCTCTCCGCGTTAGTTCCTTCTCGCCTCCGTCCGCCTTTCATTTCGATTTCCATAATGCATCCCCCAACCGACTCCTAGCTCTCCGCCCCGAACTCTCGCCGTTTCATCTCGGTCGCATCAATTAACAAAGCACACGTTCACATTACTGCGATATAACGATCCGCGCGCGGGACGAGCGCATTGTGCACCGCGTCCTTTTGTCGCGGCGCTTTGTCACTTTCGCGAGAAGTCGCGGCTCCCGCCGCGTTGTCCGTTCACCGCGCGCCCAGAAACTTCGGGGACAGGCGCCGCGGATCGAATTCGATCGTTCCCGTGCTGGATTCCGCCGCTTTTCATTCGCTGAGAGCGTTAATACCAAGTCAGCGCACGTCAAACGAAGTTTCGGTGAATCGTCACGGTTGGTTTGTCGCGTTGCTCAGTCGAGAATGCGTCTGAGTATAGACGCACGTAACTTTTGTATTTATTAGTCTTCGTTTCTGTTTGAAAATTGAACTGCCAATTGGATATCGTAATAGATACCTTCGCGTAACGTTCAGGTAATCGTTATATTAACCCTTTGCGCTCCTATAACTCAACGTCAGTTTTATTCACGGGTGCGATACTTTAAAATAGATTATATTATTATATTATTTTCAATATTATTAGTAAGAAGAATCGTTCACGCTGTTCTCTATTAACTATCTTTTCAAATTTATTTCAAATAAAATGTAATAATACAGTTATCGAGGGAAAAATGCAAAAGAAATTCGGACTGCAAAGGGTTAATACGTCGCGAACGAAGCTTCTAAATTGGGATTCAAAGGATGCGCATAACGAGTTTATGAATTTCCTTAACGTCTTTTATTTATCTTCGCGTACCTTTAGTTCCACGCGCTTCCCGTGATTCGTTTGAATAATTTATAGAGGAGAACGCAGAAAATAATAGTATCGTGTTTCGCGTCGGGACATCCTTGGGTTGCCATTAAAATCACGCTCCCCCGAGGATTTACTACGACTAATACTAGTACTTATGATCGCGAAGTATCATCCGACTGGCATCCTCCATCGTGTTCACTTCTCGTCCCAGCTTTCATTCACGCGCGCTTCTTCCATCTGTGCCATTCACAAACGAGATCTGTCTTGGGTCGCAGGGAGTAGAGAAATTTTGTATCGTGTTGAACTGCCTTATATGGAGGAACTGACGTTAGTTTATCTGGAAAAGGAGGATGATGAGAATGATGAAGAGCTTAGTAAGTGCAATCGAAAGGAAGTCAAGTGTGTGAACAGGAATGAGACACCCTCTAGGTCCCGACTAACGTATTCGAATGGTCACATTCTCGATCGGCGTTCTCCCTCTTTCTCTTGTTTTCTTTTTTTTTTGTTTTCTTTCCTCCTGTTTTATTTATATTTGATTACTCTCCTCACTTCCATCGCCGACCAACGAACCACTAACAAGATGCCGAGAAACGCTTCGCGCATTTGGGACAGTCGCGACACGTGCTTTTGTCTGTCTGTTGTCTGCCGTTTGAAATCTGTCAACTAATAGCCACCCTGTTTTGTAGATCGGTTACGAGACCAGCAGGTATGCTCTGGGTAGACTCCTAGAACCTTTGTCGCTTCTCGTTGCTGAGAAGGGAACTTATCTTATTGCGGTAACGCCCTGAAAATAGGAAGTTAATAAAACAACGAGTAATCTGCCATCGAGATTTATAGATAGTGTTTTATGTAGTACTTGGTTCTGATTAGAATCATTTTAATCATCAAATTATAAGTCGAAACATTTTCAAGTTTGTATAATATTTTCTGAACAAGTAATCGTTTGTAACTTAATATGAATGTTTGTGTAGAAACGTTTCACTCGACGTTTGAAGGTAACGATTTTAAACGAGACGAAAAGTATAATAATCGTTCAAAATTATGAACATTTAATTTGTGTTCATTCTCGTTTGAATTTGAATCAATCGGTGAAGTAATTCTCAACTTCGAGTCAAGTATAGAGCAAAGGTTTACCAAAACGTCTCACGAGCAATAAGAAGCGACGTCTAGGTGACAGTACTAAAATCACTACTATTGCGTAGCGGCGGCGAGTATCGATTACAAAAGCCAACCCTTCCGACTCCGAGTACCATCACAGTCGCCTCGTACTAATACCGAATCGACCTTGATACCCTTCGATCGCCTAGTTCTAGACTCTAGGGAGCTTAAACCATCTTGTACCCCTGCTTCGATCTCCTGAACGCTGAAGCATGGATCGTGGCTCGTCCGGAGTGAAGTTAATAATTCAACCGCGTTTCCGCGCGAAGTACTTATATAACTAAATACCACTGCCCGTGTGAATTAAGACACCGTTTTAATCGACAGTTTTCTGAAATGGACTTGAGATTTTCTTCTTCTCTCGCTGATAATACGAATTTTCATCGTTCCGACGAGACATTCCGTAACGCGAGGCTATTCGCGTTTAACCCCTTGTCCTACGATATTGTGTCAGACTTGTGAAGATTTCAAATAGCATTGAACAAACATAAATATTGTTTAATTTCTTCGAATACAAATTACATATTCCTCTGTTATCAATGATTCTACCTTAGAGCACACGTTGATACAGAAAGACTGGAATTTTCTCTTATTTTCAATAAATTATTAACAAAGTAGCTTCGATCACAGTTTACAAAGAAATCATAGGACAAGGGTTTGACAGTCTGCATTGAATATTTGGTAATTTCAATTTTGCAGAATTGCTTGGGAAATCTATAAGAGAAAAGGAAAAAGTTAAAGAATGTTCGACTATCGTTGTCTTTCTTCTAGCAGCGAAAAGATTGATGTGAATGGAAAGCAAGGGAAACGAGATGCTTTCAGGAATAGATTCACGGAGTGTCTCTTCTGAAAAGATTTTTGAAGTTCCTGATTTATCGAGAGAAACGTTTGCCCCCGTGTTTGAAAGAGTGTAAAACATTCTAACTGAGAATATAGCACATAGCTCCCAGCAACGACGTTTCGTTCGCGGAAACAACGGAGTACTCATACTGAAAATTGCAGGCAGCGAAGAAAATGTGCTGTCGTACGAGGCTGTCCAGCAGCTCACCATACAGTACACCCGACCTGTCATTATCCTCGGTCCTCTCAAGGATCGCATCAACGACGACCTCATCTCGGAGTTCCCTGACAAATTTGGCAGCTGTGTGCCACGTGAGTGAAACCATTCAAACCCGCCATTTCGTTTAACGACGTGCCGTGTCACGTGTTACGGATGGGTCACCGGATTCCCTGGGATTTTATGAATTTCCTTACTTTGTTACATACTTGATAGTTGCCAATTCGTCTGTTTTCTGGTTGATTATCTGCTGAAACATTGATAACTGTATTTCAGTTCATTAAATAGACATGATTGTCAAGGAGAATATCCGAATATAAATTTCCGAGAAATTTCATGATATTGTCTGCAGTGGTCCATCTGCAACCGGTTATTTAAGTGTGAATTCAAATTCAAAATTCAAAATTTAAAACTTAAGATTTGAGATTTGAAATTTCTGACTTAGCTCTTTGCACTCGAAAGGCGACTCACAGTCGCCATTTTGTTTGATACAGCAAAATTACAAAGTTTTATGTACAGTATTAAAGTTCATTTAACGTAATTATCCATGAAACGTTAAAATAGAATAGTTCTATCCCTTGATTTCTATATCATTAACATTAATGTTAATTATAAAACCTACCACTGATATTTCATTAGAAAAAGAAGAATACATCTAGCGAAACAATTTTCGAGTGCAAAGAGTTAAATTAGAATTTAGATGTACAATAAAGTATTTTGAAAATGTTGCAGACACAACGAGGAGTAGAAGAGAATACGAAGTGGACGGACGAGACTACCACTTTGTGGCGTCGAGAGAGCAGATGGAGAGGGATATTCAGAACCACTTGTTCATAGAGGCCGGACAGTACAATGACAATCTTTATGGAACCTCAGTGGCGTCCGTTCGAGAAGTTGCCGAAAAGGTAGCGGACAATTCCTCGTATAACTCATTCTACAGCAACAAACCTTACAATCGCAATTTACATAAATACCCTTACACTTCCAGGGGAAACACTGTATTCTTGACGTGAGCGGCAACGCCATCAAGAGGTTACAGGTGGCACAACTGTATCCCATCGCTATCTTCATTAAACCGAAATCCGTAGAATCGGTTATGTAAGTATCACTAGTTCTTATCAATTTTATAGAATATTCCCACTAAAATCAAAATAAAATTCAATGGATAAATAATCGGTCTTTGACATTGGCAGGGAAATGAACAAGAGAATGACCGAGGATCAAGCGAAAAAGACGTACGAACGAGCATTGAAAATGGAGCAGGAATTCGGGGAATACTTCACCGGTAATGTATTCTCCATAATTCCATAAAAAACACGGATACTTGATATCTGAATGTTGAATCCTAATAATTAACTTCACCTTGTTTCTACGTACATTTCAGCCGTAGTACAAGGTGACACTCCCGAGGAGATCTACGTAAAAGTAAAGGAAGTGATCTCCGAGCAGTCGGGTCCGAACATTTGGGTACCGTGCAGGGACCAGCAACTGTGACGTCCTGCCCCCCACGCTCAGCCGGGCCCGAATGCTTGGACCCTGCCACCGAGGCGTCAAGCTTAATTACACTTAATAAAATAATCAAGTAACACTCTAATGCCTTCCCCGTCCCCATCCCTCATCCCACATACACACATACACCCACCCGTACCCACACCCAGCCAGAGACACGGTACACATCCATTGAATGTCCCAGTCAAATTGTTAAACCGCGCGACGCTCATCGGAGAGGCTCGACCGAGCACAGCGCGCACTTCCCGAGCGTCGTCGACAAGTGTCACGGGAGAACGAGCAATTCTCGCGAAGGAAAGGGTAGAGAAGAAATAATAAGTATAACGGACCGCGTTGTTTCTCATGTTCAATTTCCTTCGCGCTGTATACTTGTAACACCGACACTCCGGTCGCAGGATAGATGGAAAAGAGAATCGTTAGACGCCGCGAGAGTGACGCGCGACCCTTTCGAAGCGGTCCTCTCGACGAGGGTGGCCGAGAAGAGGAGACCTGTCGTCTCCGACGCGAAAGAAAGAGAGAGTATTTAAGGTGTTAATTGATCCTCCTCTAGATCGAAGGTGGAGGGTTCGTGTTATAGTGTTAAATACCAGAAGTGTTTCGTTGTACCACGATGTTTTTCATGTATGTAACAGGTTTGTTGAACGAGAGCACGGAGACCCCGCGGGCGCGCGACAGTCTCTGCGTTAGTTTTATTACAGGACTCAACGACGCGAATACACGCCGGTATTCGTGCACCCCAAATCACCCCTGTCCCCCATCCCTCTCCTGCGACGAACATTGAACTCGTGCTTCGTAATTTATACTGCACCGTTCCTCCCTCCGATCCCTTCCATCCCACCCCACCCTCCCCTCCTTTAGCGTCTCGCGTGCTCGAACCGAGAAAACCGAGAACACTGAGAAAAGGAGCGAAGACTGTCGTGTATTCGTCTCGAGATCGATTTTAACGCGCATATTCGACCACACGACACGGACCCCGGTCGGCGTGGCGTGTTTCCTGGTAGGGCTCGCACCGCGGTTGCTCCACGATCGATCGACCAACCGCGAGACGCGTTCGTATGTATAGAAAGTCGGGATCGCTTAGAAATGCGACGAGAACGGCACGAAATCGAACAAGACTAGAAAAGGTAATTAATGAAGAGAGAAGGGAGGAGAAGATTGTTCACGGGCACGGATTATCGTCGCGAATCATTCGCAAGATGCGCACAGCACCGCTAGAACGCTTACGAAACAGACGATTTTCCTCCCCGCCGCGCGAAATCGCGACGACGAACCGTGATTGCGAACCCGGGACGGGCGAGAGAAAAAGGAGAACGGTTCGAAGCGGAAACGGTAATCTCGAGGGAGATACGAATTAATAAAACTTGGCTTCACCGATCACACTATTATATATAGCTTGTCCGGTTTATTCTGAGCGAAGTAGCGTACGTGCGCGCGTGCGTGCGTGCGTGTGCGAGCGAGGTATTTTTTAATGTACTTAACCGCAATAAGTGGCGAGAAAGGATGCGAGAGCCGGAGAGGATGACTCGTTTTTAGTATTTGTCGCTTGTCCGCCAGGCGATGGGAATTTAACCATTGTAGGATGCACTAAATAAAAATGGAAACGTGAAACAAAGAGATCGCACGGAAAATCACTGAGCGAAGCGGCGAGCTCCGTCGCTTATCCGGTTCCATCATGTTAAACCAAGTATATATATAAATATATATATATGTGTATATGCATATATATATATACACATTATATATACATATATATATATATATACATATAATACAATAATACGTGTTCTGCAAGCGAAGTAAAAGTTTCGAGTGCAGTTGAGGCGAGGAGAAACCGAGAGAACCCGGACGCGCATGTTAATGAACCTCACGATTCATCAAACCTCACAGGACAAATCTTTAGATGCTAGAATAGCGATATATAATGTTTTGTACAGCTAGATTACTAAGCCAGTACTGGGTTATGTGCAACATTATATATATATAAATATATACATATATATGTATATATATATATGTTCTATATCTATATGTATATATATATATATATATTACCACCATATATATACATATACATATACGTAAAAAAAAAGAAGTATATATATATATAGAGAGAGAAAGAGAGAGAGAGAGCGAGAGAGAGAGCGCGAGAAACCGAGGAGAGCA